GTCTCCTGCTCCTTGCCCCTCCTTCTCTCCTCCTCTCTCTCCTCCTCCTCTCTCCTGCTTAATAATCACCGGAAGTTTTTAGCAAAAGCATCAAAGGAGCCGCTCTGGTTCCGGATCAGCTCAGAATGGTACCGAGAATGAAGCGGGTTCCGGCTTTGACCGCCTGACCTCTACCTGTTGGATATGTCGGACTTCCAGAGGGTACCTGAACGCCTCACGGCCCGCAGAGAAATGACGCAGAGAAGTTTCACTTCCTCCGCCGCTGTAGGAAGCTTCAGTTTGTAGCCGCTGGAGCAGCAGGAGGTTCGGCTGCTGTCGCTGCTGGAGCGGTCCGGAGAGCAGGCTGGGTGAGAATGCTTCTGATTTCAGTTCAACTTTCTCTGTCATCGTTTATCTTCTAATGAAATAATCAGATGTAAACAAGCTGAGACTGAGATGGTCAGGTGATCAGCATGACGTCACGCACGCTCTTTTAGGAAAACAAAAATGGCGGCACACATTTAATATGCCATTTGGACAGAACCGGCAGTTCTGGAACCAGCTTCTATGTAGCATCACCAGATGGTGCTGTTCTTCAGTGGCCCAATCAAAGATCTGTCATCATCAATCAATTCTATTCAGTTTATTTCTATATTGCCATTTCACAACTCATGTAATCTCAAGACACTTTATAGATCCAGATCATCCAGTCAGGTTGATTTAAAGTAATCAATAATCAATAAACTCCCTGACATCAGTCCTGAATGACAGACCTGCTCACCTGTTGCTGGATCATATCAGCAGCAGCAGCTGCTGGTTCTAGATGAATCGTATCTGCAGCAGCAGCAGCCGGTGGTTCTAGATGAATCGTATCTGCAGCAGCAGTAGGTGGTTCTAGATGAATCGTATCTGCAGCAGCAGCAGGTGGTTCTAGATGAATCGTATCTGCAGCAGCAGCAGCTGGTTCTAGATGAATCGTATCTGCAGCAGATGACTGGTTTAATGTGAGGGCAGTCAGATTACACACAGAGTTGGATTTAAAGAACATTGGGATTATTTACAGATTATAAAACTACCCGATCAGACGTAATGATGATGGTTCTGCTGAATGTTTTCAGGATGTTTTACCGTTTTCTGTATTTCAGGAATGATTTTATTTATTTCCGACATTAAAATGACCTGAATAGCAAAGAGTCATTAAACGTCCAGGAAGCAGCCGCTCTGTCTGAATGAAGCCAACTTCTCCTTCAGAGAACTTTTCATCCTCAAACTAACTTTGTTGTCCTGCTACAGCTAGAAAGCTGCGGTGAACATGGGTCAGGCGGAGGAAGTCATGGTGTCGTATCTGAACCTCCTGACGTGCCACAGGGAGCTGCTGGTGTCCACGCTCAGGAGCATTCAGTGCGTCCTGGATAACCTGCTGGGAAGCGGCTTCTTCTGTCAGGAAGATGTGGAGATCGTTCAACGAACCGCCACCAAACCAGATCAGGTCGGTTCCCTTTCCTCTAAATACCCTGAAAGCATCTTCTAAAAGCCAACGGAAATGCTGTCGTCATGTTTTAGGTGCGCAAAATCCTGGAGCTGGTTCAGTGCAAAGGAGAGGAAGCCTGTGAATACTTCCTGTTCATCCTCTATGAAATACGTGATGCGTACATCGACCTGCAGCCGTGGCTGCTGGAGATCAACTACAAGCCCAGCAGAGAAATCAGAGAGATGAAAGTGGTGAACACCGACCCCAGTAAGTGTCCCAGACTCCATGGAGGCGTGGCAAAGTCTGCACTGATTCATGGCTCTGCTGTCCCACATTAAGCCTGGAGATCCTGACTCCTCCCTGACTCCTCCGTCAGGTCCAGCTGAGTTCCTGCCCCCCCCACCCCCGTTCTCTGCCCTCACAGTTCTCTTCACTTCCTGTTCCTGCACAGTTAGCTTGAGGCTGTGGCGGGGGCTCCTAAAATCAGCAGCAGCTCCTCTGCCACGGGGCTTCCCTTGAGCTGGACCCCTTCCCACTGCGGCTTCTGCTCCTGATTCACCTCACCGATGTCCCTCCTTAGATCAGGGCACAGGTCCCGGTCCCCGGATCCCCATTTCCCGTCCTTCAGCAGTTCCTGCACCTTCTTGTTCATTCAGGGCTTCTGGTTGGGAAACATCTGAAGTTAGCCGAGCACTGCTGAAGGGAACAGGTCCAAGTCCTGCTGGCAGAAAAGGCCAGACCGCCTCAGTACCTGAGAGAACTCTCTGAGGTTTAGGTCCGCAGTCTGGACCTGTACAGTGGAACCACTGAGCACTGCAGACCTCCTGCATTAGGGAATGGTTCCTAGATCTCTGCTTTTTGTAGTTAGGGTTCCTGAGAAAAAGCTTCTTTGAAAACTCTAATCTGGGTTATTATTTATCGAACCATCATTGACTGGATCCAATCATTGAAGCTGCTTAATTAGAGACCCGACCTGGTGCTATGAGAACTCTATAAGGAACGAGACACGTAGGAACCAGACACGTAGGAACCAGACACGTAGGAACCAGACACGTAAGAACCACAGTTTTCAAAACCTTCCAGC